GTCATTTTTTGGAGGGGACCATATATGAGGGGTAGGGTCATATATGGGCCGATCCTCATGAAAGTGGTAGAGAGAATTTGGCTCATATGAAACTTATTTATGTCAAATTTCATCGCTATACTCGTATTTTTAAAACAGTTATGACTGTTAAAGCTGTTTTTTGGGGCGCCAATTATATGGGTGCTATGCGAAAACATGGACCGAAAGTGCTTATTTTCAATACCAAACAAACTTTACCTATAAGAAAATGTCAACTCTCTAGCTCTTTCCGTTCGGACTCTATCGTGCTTTCAACAGACAGACGGAAAGGCATGACTAAATCGTCATAAGGACCCAGAATATATATAATTTTATGATCAATATTTCGATGCGTTACAAACAGAATGACAAAATCAATATACGCCCCCATCTTTTTTGATAGTGGATATAAAAACATCACTCCCGTTTACAACCACGCAAATGGGATGGCCTCTGATGATTCTGTAACAACACCTAAAGACGTTATCGGTATCCATCAAATAAGACTTGTTCTTACTCATAGATAACTCACTGTGCCAAATTTTATATGAACAAAGTACCCTAACAAGGAAGGAAAATTCAGTGCTATCACTTACCATAAGATACCTTAGGTATATAAGATACCTTACATCAATCACCATCCAACCCAGCAAACTTCTCATTTATCTGATACATTTATTGAGAAAAATATGATAGTGATGCCCTCATACATTCATTCCATATCCATATACAATTGACACCAACACATATCGAAAGCTTAGTAGGGTTCCATAAATCAACTTTCGAATAATCGAACAATCGACTTTTTGTCGAAAAAAGTCGAAGTCGACTATTTTGTTCCAAAAAAGTCGATAACTCGACTATCGTTTGTGGAAAAAGTCGAAAAGTCGACTTTGTAAATAAAAGTCGAAAAAAGTCGAAGAAAGTCGAAAAGTGGTAAAAAGTCGAAAAAATTCGGAAAAAGTCGAAAATAGTAGAAAAAAGTCAAAAATAGTCGAAAAATTTTAAAAAGTGGGAAAAAAGTCAAAAAATAGTCGGAAAAACTCGAAAAAAGTCAAAAAATAGTCGAAAGAAGTCGAAAATAGTCAAAAAGTCGAAAAGTCGACTATTTATAAAATACTTAAAGTCGAAAAGTCTAAAAGTCGACTTTTAATTAAATAAAATAAGTCGAAAAGTCTACAAATCGACTTTTCATAAAATGCAAAAAGTCGACTTTTAACTAAATAAAAAAGTCGACTTTTCGTTTCAACTATAGAACGCTAAAGCATAGTCCCACAGTTATTCCTCTGAGGGATATCTGTTGTCTCGGCAACAGCACCGAACTTAACCCGAATTATATACTTCACCATGCATCAGTCTTTTAACCAACATTCTCTTCCCACGCAGAGACCACTTAAAGGTCCATTAAAAGCGTGAACAGTGTTTATAGAGCTAATTGAAGCCCTGATTTGAATTTAATTAAATTCTGGGAAATTAACATTTAATTTAAATTCTTATTTTCAAGTTAGGGTTTATCAAGTTTAAGCATTAAGCGCTTCAATTAAATACCAACATTGGAAATTAAATTGTTGTAATACCATGAGTGCATACTGTGACTTCTATATAATTTAAAACCCATTTAATTTACAAAAAATTAATATTATAAACATGTTTCAGATTTCTAACTAAACAATGTTGCTGACAACTTGTTGCGTTAAAAAAAAAACTAGAGCAATGTTTAAATAAATTAATTAAACGATAAAACAAAAAAGAATTAGTCACTTTTTTTTTGCAAAATGCGTAGTAGAGGTAAAACTTTTTTGGCAACCTGTTGTTGTCTTAAAAAAAAGACACAAAAACACAATTTTACAGTTGCAAACAAACACCTGTCTTAATAAGTATTATCTATAAAACGAAACACACCTAAAAGTTTATTTTTATAAAAATTATTTTTAAAAGATAATATACAAATACTAAACAAATATAGTTAATTTTATGCAAAATCATAATTTTTTGTGGTTAAATTTATTGTTGTTTTCGTAATACTATGCGGTGGTAGTTGCAGTTCATTAACCACAGGCAAAAATCAGCACAAAAAAAGACATTAACGCTATATAAACAAAATTTTGTAAAAATATTAAATTTAGTTATTTTAAAGTTTTATGTATTAAATACAGCCGGTAATGGCCGAAATAAACTAAATGTATTTTTAAAATGTTCTAAAAAAATGTCTTGGATACTAAAGGTACTTTCATTACTTGCATACAAAGTATGTACATCATGTCTAGTTTTAAAACAAAGTATTTTTGGCTAACAAAAAATAAAGCCAAAAAACACTAACGCGTTGGTTCATTGTTCATGAGTACAATTACAATTAAAAGTAGAACACTTTTGTTTTGTCATTATTTGTTTTCAAAAGTAAACTAAAGTAAGAAAAAATGTATTTTCAAACAAAACTAAATTTACTTGGCATAGATAAAACAATAAATAGAATATGTTGCAGTTACAAATACACTCTCACTCTTAAGTTTTATTCAAATAGAAAATTTTGATTTAATGAGGTTTTTATTTAAATTTTTTATTTTATTTATATTTCATAAACAAAAACCACTTTTATTCATTCATAAAAAAACAAGTAAGAAATTATAGTCGGGGGAGGCCGACCATATAATACCCTACACCTTTGACAAAAATATAATGTGATTTATTTGCCATAATAAAGCATTTAAATTGAATTGTACCTTGCCTCAGATATACATACTTAAGCCGTTTATTGTTGAATAAAATTGTGGACATTTAAGTGAAATTTTGATGGGGGCTTTTCATAGCGGCTAGGGTCATATGAGGACCTATTATTATGGAATTCGTGAGGGTCATCAAATCTTGTATAGAACTTGGTTTTTGCAGCTTTTTTTCTAGATATGAGTATATTAAACATAATTATGAACTTAAAAGCCCTATTCGGCGGGTTCAGTTGTATGGGGGCTAGGTGAAATAATGGACCGATGTAAACCATTTTCAACTGGCTTCGTTTACGGTACCATAAAAGATCATGTGCCAAATTTTATTGAATTATCTAAAAAATTGCTACCTGTAGTTTGATTACAAAGTTTAAAAGCCCTATTCGGGGGTTCAGTTGTATGGGGGCTAGGTGAAATGATGGACCGATGTTAACCATTTTTAATAGACTTTGTCTACGGTACCATGAAAGATCATGTGCCAAATTTCATTGAATTATCTCCAAAATTGCTACCTGTAGTTTGATTACAAAGTTTAAAAGCCCTATTCGAGGGTTCAGTTGTATGGGGCTAGGTGAAATGATGGACCGATGTTAACCATTTTTAATAGACTTTGTCTATGGTACCATGAAAGATCATGTGCCAAATTTCATTGAATTATCTCCAAAATTGCGACCTGTAGTTTGATTACAAAGTTTAAAAGCCCTATTCGGGGGTTCAGTTGTATGTGGGCTAGGTGAAATGATGGACCGATGTTAACCATTTTTTAAAGACTATGTCTACAGTACCATGAAAGATCATGTGCCAAATTTCATTGAATTATCTCCAAAATTGCGACCTGTAGTTTGATTACAAAGTTTAAAGGCCCTATTTGGGGGTTCAGTTGAATGGGGGCTGGGTGAAAAAATTGACCGATGTTAACCATTTTCAATAGGCTTTGTCTACGGTACTATAAAAGATCATGTGCCAAATTTCATTGAATTATCTCCAAAATTGCGACTTGTAGTTTGATTACAAGGTTTACAAGCTCTATTGGAGGGTTCAGTTGTATGGGGGCTAGGTGAAATAATGGAACGATCTCAAGGCTTCGTCCCTGGAACAATAGATGATTATGTAGCAAATTTCATTGAATTATCTTCAAAATTGCGACCTGTAGTTTGATTACAAGGTTTACATGGACGGACGGACGGACGGACAGACGGACGGACATAGCTAAATCGACTCAGAAAATGATTCTGAGCCGATTGGTATACTTTAAGGTGGGTATAGGACCAATATTATTGCGCGTTACAAACATCAGCACAAACCCAATATACCCTCCCCACTGAAGTGGTGTAGGGTATAACAAACTATTTTATTAAGATTTTGTTTTAATATTTTGTTCGTTCGTTTTAAATGTTTATGGTTAATGTAAACACAAGCATGTGTTTTTAGTTATTTTTTTAAGAACTACTCGAAACAGCAGCCTACCTACGTACAAATACTTATAATTATTATTACCAACTTGTGATAATGATGTTTGGATACATTTTTTTTAATTTGGGGCCATATGTGTGTGTTTGTATGTCAGTGGGCATTGCCAAGCAAACAACTTCACATGAAGATTTATTTGCTTGCATAAAACGTCATTTCTTTTTATAAATATTTGTTTTTATTATGTTGTCTTTTATCAAATGTCTTCAGTTGTTGTTGACAGTTTTATGTGTTATTTAATTTAATTTGAAATTTTTACCAGGCCCCCACACAATTTAAGGATAGATAAGGGGTTTTTTAAATCTTTTTACTTTTTCTCGGAAATTTTCCATGAAAAGAAATTTTTTTGGAAATTTTCTGTAAAATATAATTTATAGAAAATTTTCTATAGAAAGAGAAAATAATCAAAAAATAACATAAAATTTATCGATTTCTATGAAAATAGAAAATTATTGAAAATATTTTCAAAAAAGAGAAATTTATGGAAAATTTTCTATAAAACTAGAAAATTTATAAAAACTCTCTATAAAAAAATAAAATTTTTGGAGAATTTTTTATAAAAATTAATGTTTATAGAATATTTTCTATAAAAAAGAAAATTTATCGTAAAATTTCTATAAAAAATGTTGACAATTTTCTATAAAAATAGAAAATTTATCGAAAATTGTCTGTAAACATAGACATTTTCTTATTTTCCTTTCTTTTATTAAAGTTTAATTTTGATATTTTAACTAATTGAGAACATTCATCAAATTACAATAATAAATATTTTATTTTTTTATTTATTTTTAGCAGTTTTAATATGAATGGCAATGAATCAGTGAATACAGCTTATACTGTTTAGATAAAAATATTAATCGTAGTTTTACATCACTTACAACTTAATCGGGTTGTATAAAAATTACCGAGAGAGAGGGAGAGTGAGAAAAAAAATCCAAGCAAACACAATTACAAAAGTATTAATACAAATATTTTTAACGTCATGATTAATACCCCTAATACCAATAGTATTAATATTAATGGCATAATGGAAACATATGATGATAGACCGATAAGTATGTATGACAATCTAAATAATATGACCACAAATATGAATGCAACAACAACGACGGCGGTGGCGGCGATAAACAGTAGCACACCTAAAATAACAAAAGCGCCAACAATGGCAAACACAAATGCAACAACGGTAACAACATTAACAGCAACACCACCACCAGCACCATCAACGTCATCGAAAACAAATGGAGCAGCACATTCAACGCCCTTTACAGATATTACATTTAAATTTAATGAAAACAATAATATACCGCAATTGAAACTACAGCAACAACAACAACAACAACAATTGCCAATAAATGGCAATCGGAACTTGAATGAAATACCTCCCAATACAGGTAATAATGCAGCTGTATATGCGACACCATATAAAACATCAGCTGCTATAAAGCCAGTAATAACCACCGCATCACCAACACCTCTAACAGCACAGCAACAACAACAAACACAGCACTCTCCAGCAGAAATAACAACAACCATAACAAATACTTTAACGTCATCACCTTCGTTATTACATACGAATGCAACAATACCAGCAACAACAACAACATTAACACCACCAACATCAGCAACAGTAGCTATAATAAACTCAGATACATTCAATAGTTTTAATCGACCGCTTAGTCAACATTCACAATCGGAACTAAACGATACAAGTCATAGCATTGCTGCAGTGAAAGCAGCTCTAAATGAAGCTAAATCAAAATTCTTTGGCTTAAATGGTTATGCCGCATCACAGTTACAAGATCATCAACATAATAATTACGACGACGATAACTACGCTGAAGAATCTCCAAATCATCAATTACTGCCATTGGATGATCAACAACAATCAATTCCGTTCACACATCAAGTTCAACAGCAACAACATCATCAACAACAAGTACAAAAACCCCAACCAAAATATCAAAACATACCAGAAAATAGTGCAATATTTCGTAATCAAAGTACAGGAGTACCGGCTGCTCCTCCTCCAGAACTGCCACCAAAACCCATTGAATATCAAAATCTACAACAGCCCACAGCATCAACAAGTTTACACACTACACCCGATCATTTTAGAAAAATGCCTGCTGGAACCGCGAGCTATAATCAAATATCGTTGAACGATATAGATACTTCAGCTTCCCGATCACAGGTAAGTTATAAATTGAAATTTGGTGGATAGATAGGTAGGTAGATAGATAGATAGATAGATAGATAGATAGATAGATAGATAGATAGATAGATAGATAGATAGATAGATAGATAGATAGATAGATAGATAGATAGATAGATAGATAGATAGATAGATAGATAGATAGATAGATAGATAGATAGATAGATAGATAGATAGATAGAGATAGATAGAGATAGATAGATATAGATAGATAGATAGATAGTAGATAGATAGATAGATAGATAGATAGATAGATAGATAGATAGATAGATAGATAGATAGATAGATAGATAGATAGATAGATAGATAGATAGATAGATAGATAGATAGATAGATAGATAGATAGATAGATAGATAGATAGATAGATGATAGATAGATAGATAGATAGGTAGATAGATAGATAGATAATAGATAGATAGATAGTAGATAGATAGATAGATAGATAGATAGATAGATAGATAGATAGATAGATAGATAGATAGATAGATTGATTGATAGATAGATAGATAGATAGATAGATAGATATAGATAGATAGATAGATAGATAGATAGATAGATAGATAGATAGATAGATAGATAGATAGATAGATAGATAGATAGATAGATAGATAGATAGATAGATAGATAGATAGATAGATAGATAGATAGATAGATAGATAGATAGATAGATAGATAGATAGATAGATAGATAGATAGATAGATAGATAGATAGATAGATAGATAGATAGATAGATAGATAGATAGATAGATAGATATAGATAGATAGATAGATAGATAGATAGATAGATAGATAGATAGATAGATAGATAGATAGATAGATAGATAGATAGATAGATAGATAGATAGAGATAGATAGATAGATAGATAGAGATAGATAGATAGATAGAGATAGATAGATAGATAGATAGATAGATAGATAGATAGATAGATAGATGATAGATAGATAGATAGATAGATAGATATAATAAACCTTAATTGATAGTAGAAAAAAATTTTTTTTTTCTTTAATTTTACCACGAAGTCATTTTTTAAAACCGGTTATTGTAAAATTATCAAAGATCAAATTTATTAAAAAGTAAATAATGAAATAAAAACGTCATATGAGATGAAAATTACAGTTTTGAACTATAAATGCTCATGCTTGCGGAAATGAGCACTATGATTTTTTTAGGTAACATGCGAGCGCAATTATTAAGTAATAATCAAAGTATTTATCAATAAATATATCGATATAAATTTTTAAATCAATTTGATATGTATGTTGAGCAAAATTAATACATATTATTTGTAACACGAGTATATAATTTAAAAGCAATTACAAAATCATATTTATAAATTATTGCAAAAAAAAAAACTATTTACTTAATGTCGTAATTAAAATGAAAAGTATTAACAATTGTTAGTAAACATTATTATTATTATTGTTTCTATATAACTATTATATACGAATCATTATATATCGCTCACTGCACCAGATATTACAAAATACCAAAATGGACATTAACAAGTAAAGCTATAACCGGAGATTGAGATAGTGTTTTCTTAAATAAAAAAAAACTCTGATTATTTTTTTAATTTACAACAAAATGCATAATTGGTTGAAATATACATAAGATAAATCCCAAAACCCCATATTTTCAGATATACATATGTATGTATGAATCTAGAACTCATACACAGTTTCTTCGTAAACATAATGTATATCAAATGAAAGGTCTTGCGAATGTCGTTCATTTGTTGTACATGTAAAGTTTTCCAACAGATTTCTGTGTTTAAAAAAAATGCAAATTAGTTTTAATTTTAAATTACAAACATTAAGTTGTGACGTTTTGGTGCTTAATGAACGATATGTTTGTATAAATCAAAGGTGAAAAGTGCAGACAATTAAAATCTTTACAATTTTTATTACTTGCTTATTATACCGATTAACTAGTGAGAGCTTTAAATGTGTTTTTATAGCTCAGAAATATTAGTCTTATACCTAAAAGTATATCAATATATTCAGATTTCATAAGATTCCTAAATAGATAACACGCCTATTATGTAGCGCAATTGAAATTAAAACGTTCTAGATAGTCACAGAAAGCAGAAAATGTTTAAGAATTACACAGGTAAACAAATTTTTAACCCAGACACCAAAGTATACTTGTCTGAAGGATTGAGTAGTCTTCCGAATCTGAATCCTTATAATTTATCCATCAGATCACGTTTTTTTAGATACCGTGACATTAATTTTTAAAATCCCCGTTTTTGGCCATATTTATTTGAGATTTTATAACATGAAGATGAGACCTTTATTCATAAATTTTGTTCTATCATCTAAAAGTCTAATCTGTCAAACATTTACGAAGATTTTTTTTAGAATTTTCGCCATATACTTTTTTCGCCAATATTGTCCATTAAAATAAATTTGTTTGGAATTTATATTTGTAGGTTAGGATATCTCAAGGATGGAAGAAGATATTACAGAGGTTAAAGTTATATTTTGAAGTCGATGGATTAGACTTTCAGATGACATAACAAAATTTATAAATAAAGGTGTCCTCACTCTGTTAAAACATCTCAAATTGTCCATAAACGTTCTTTTTTTAACTTTATGAAAACCTGATCTGAATCCAGATTTGGAATCAGCGCAAGTCAATTTGGAAAAGCATACATTGGTCGTTGGGTTTTGACTTTTGTTCAAATTTTGTTGGCCTGTGTTATTTAAATATAAACTATTCATAGTATGAACTTAATACTGAATACAAAATTTATGTGAACGTTTCTAGAAATTTTTATTAAAATAAATTTATAAAAATGCATACATACATCTAACCCTTGAATTACAAGATTGAGTTCTAAGTCGGAATTTAGTATTAGGACTAATGTCTATGTATTAGAAGGATAAAAAACCTAGAAACTCGAAATTTCTAGTTTTTCGGCTCAAGACGTGAAAATTGAGTTCAGCGAACATGGGTTGAAACCCATATTAGAAGCAAATCGTTTCTTTAACTAACCCTTAAGTATTTTAATTGAATGAAACCCAATGTGAAACATCCAGGGCTTAAGTGGGCCAAACCCACAAAATTCTTAAGATTAAAAGATATTACAACACATTTTCTTCCATTGTTCTATAAAGAAACGAAATGTCTTGGTAATAGGTTTACAATAGACTGAAAGTTACATACATATATGCAGCTGTGACTTAGGAAACGATTACGATTTCGACTATAGCAATGACACTCGTAATAAGGAGATGATTCTACAGTTATCGTAGACAAAGTCGGTAAAAATCTTAGTAAATCCAAATCTACAACGATCATCATTTCTTATTTATGTAATCTTCTTTATATTCTTTGTTCCTGGACATAAATTAAAAAATCTCATAAATTTTTATTTTTCTCTTTGCAGACCGTCTATATGGCCACAACAGTACCACAAAATATTAAAGGTAATAAAATCGCTGGACGACATACACCGACAAGAAGCAGTTTGCGACATAGTCGAATGCTGGTGGTAAACAATAAAAGTTATGAAGGTAAATATCTGAATTTTACAATCAAATTAAAGAAAACTTACCAACACATATCATTCTTCCAGCAGAAGTACAACATCCCAATCCCATGGGTTTTCAACAGCCAAATCTTGCCCGTTGGTTATTAATATTACAAATTATCATTGGTATTTTATTGTTAAGTTTATCGACATGGATATTTTTCCTAACACCAAATACACCAGTACAAGATAACCCCTATTGGTGTGGTTTAGTGGTAAGTGAAAGGAATCGTATATATTTTGTAAGAAAATTAAAAATTATTTACTTTTCTATTACAGTTGTTAATAACGGGTATTATAGGCTTAATAGTGATACGTTATCAACGTATTAAACGAGCTAAAACTCGAGAGCATTGCTTTATGTTTTTACGTATGGATTCCTATGTACTTTCATTGCTGTCCGTTTTACTCTGCTGTGTGGCTTTAATATTTGCCGCCATACATTATTGTCGCCTCACTGCAGCGGATACAAAATGTAAAAGTATGAATCTTTTACTGGAACATGGTTCATGTATTTGCACTTTTAATGCCCCAACGCCAACAGTAAATGCAACAGAACCCTTGTTAAACGAAACTTCCTACGAAGAAGATGACGAAGAGGAAATAACGGATAATAGTTATAATGTGGAATATCGGTAAGTTTGTTAATGAATTATTTTCATAATTTCACACACTTTAAACAGGCAACTTATTTTTAAACAACATGTTTACTATTTTAGTGACTTAAGTTGCCAAGAAGTTACCGGACCTTGGACCTCTATATTGGGTCTATCTTTTATACTTAATTGTTTGGGCTTTGTTATTTCTTTAGCTTATATTATTTTATTAGCCTGTTGTCGAAAGTCTTCGAAACGTATTTATACAACCGTCCGTACAAGTACCTTTTAAGTTTAATTTTAACACAGACATACACACACACAAACATTATTAATTTAGTTTTACAAAAATTGAATTTAATTTAAAACAGAAATGATTTTAATATTTATAATTTTGTTTTTATAATGGTGTTTTAAATATAAGTTTTTATTTTAGTACTTAATTGAAAATAAATTTAACAATTAAATTGTATTTTAACAGAAAAAAATCAAATTTGTATTAATTTTTTAATAAACAAAACATAAATAAATAAAATATTACACTAAAAACTGGAAAAATTGTCTTTTATTCTTTAAAATAATCAAATTTGTAATAAAAACTGTTTTAAAAACCGTTAAAAACATTTGAAAATTTCATAAAACTTGGCAGCACTGTTACAATGTGTTGAAAGCGCCATCTATTGTTAAAGTTAAAGTCATGTGAAAAATCAAAAAATCGATGTGGCAACATTCCTTCAATTTTGCTAGGCCACTATCTCCGGGTGGCAACTCTGAACCAAAATTCTGCAAATTTTTGCAGTGTTACCAGATCGTTTTTCATAGTGGCCTACCAAAATTGCAGAAATGTTGCCACATCGATTTTTTGATTTTTCACATGACTTTAACTTTAACAATAGATGGCGCTTTCAACACATTGTAACAGTGCTGCCAAGTTTTTTGAAATTCAAATGATATTTAACGTATGTTTTGGCCATTTTTAAATAAAATTCTGATATTTATTGATTTTCAGTTAATAAAAATTTAATTGTATTTAAAAAAAAATTATATTTATAATTTATAAATTGTATTTTAAAGGATATTTATAAAATAATATATACTTAGTACTTAATTTAAACAAAATTTAACAAAAATACATTTTAAAAAATCTAATTTTTTCAATAAAAAGTCTTCAGCATGTTTTTAAAAATATACTAAAACATTGTATATACATATATACAAAAGCAATTTTGAATAGTAAGTTCCAGACTTTTTTTTGTATTTTTTAATTCAAATAATTATTGGAAATTTAATTTGAACACCTTAAATTGCTAAAAAATGCATTCATTTAAAACATTTTAAAATGTTCTTTTTAGACATAAAAAATACTACTTATTTTTACTTACATTTAGTTAAATGACATGTTCTGTATATGAATAATGATGTTATTAAATTTTAAACTTATTTTATAATAATTTCTGCTGGTGGCAATATACTATCGCCATATAAACAGTACCATATGCTAGAATACCAAATAGTACGATCCACCCATTCACAACCGGCTAAAACATGTCCTATGTAGGGTGAGTCTCGGGATCTAAAGTAAAATGTAAATGAAATGGTTTAATGATTGAAATAAAAGTCTCGATTTAAGTTAGGACTATAGTTTAGAGTCTAAACTTTAGACTATAGTTCAGACTATTGTCTCGCCTATTTTCAACTAGAGTTCAGACTATAGTCAGGACTATAGTCTAGAGTATATTATAGGCTATAGTTTAGACTACAGTCTGGACTATAGCTTAGACTATAGTCTGAACTATAGTTCAGGTAATAGTCTGGACTATAAATTTTCTGAACTATAATTAAGACTATACTCTGGACTATAGTTAAGAATATAGCCTGGCTTATAGTTAAGACTATATTATGGACTATAGTTTAGATTATTGTCAAGATTATATATTAGACAACTGGGCAAGAGTTTAGTCTTTAATATAAACTATGGTTTAGACTGTCTGGACTAATGTTTAAACTATAACATGTACTATAGATTAAATTTTGGATTTCAAAATATATTCTGGTCTTTAGTTAAAAGTATTGTAGAGTTTAGACTATAGTCTGGACATTGTACACTTTTGACTATAGTCTGGATTATTGCTTAGAATATGGTCCTGTCTATAGTAAGTTCTAAAGGTTATACTATAGTCTGATTGTTGTAGTTGAAACAATAGTTGGAGCTATAGCCCGAACTTTAATAGTCTGAACTGTAGTTTTGACTATAATCTGGACTGTAGTTTTGACTATAGTCTGGACTGTAGTTTTGACCATTGCCTAAATTATACTTTAGTGTAGTAAGGTCTATAGTCTGGACCATATAGTCTGAACTATATTTTAGACTATAGTATGCACTATAGTTTAGAATTTATTCTAGACTGTAGTTTATACTAAACTTTGACTATAGTTTAGACTATAGTCTGGACTATAGTTTAGTCTGAACTAAATTTGAGACTATAATCAGGTCTCTTATTTAAGTAATCAATCAATCTTTCACTCTTCAAAAACAACCACTCACCTTAAAATCTGAGTTTTTGTTTTTTCCACAAACGTAATGGCCCAACTCCAGGGAAAATCTCTTTTCTTCTCACAGCCCAAATAGGCTGTCGTATTATGCAAGAATATCTCTCTTATTATTGTAGTCTTATCGTTTTTATCCTTTTTCGATATAACAATCTTCCCATCACGCAATTCACACTGATATGCCTTAAACGATTTCGTTTTATTATCGGCAAATTTCAATTCTTTACCCGGTGTTACGGTGGCTAAATTTTTCACTGCCCTCTGTACTTCATTGAGAATTTCGATAGGTTTAGCGACGAGTACATTATTCTTACGATCATCTTCTGGCCAATATGACCAATTGAGAACAACTTCGAAAACTTTACTGTCATGGTGTAGGGGTCGTTCTAAAGTACCATTTAGTATGACTTCATGTAAGGTGACCTGATGAGTGGAGAGTTTCATTTTAGGTGCTAACTCTTGGCAAACTTCATAAGCCGTTTTGGTGGGTGAAATAGTGACATTAATCTGAGTCTTTTCCTGAAAATGTAACGAAATATTTTAGACAAATCTTAACGATTTAAAAGTCAAAGAATAATAACTACCTCTGTGGTATTTTCGGGATTGGGATTAAGAGTAATCCATACTTTTAAATCCCCTGACTTTTTAACTGTATCGGATAAGGTTTCGGCGGCAGCATAGTACTTTTGCAAACATATTAACATTTCTTGTTCTTTTTTCTGAAGAGATTTAAAAGAATGTTTTAATTTATGAAATTTTTCAACTGAAGTTATATTGGTTGTTACTTACAATTTCATCTGCTGATAAGGGGAATAAATTCTTATACAAATTTATTAAATCACACAGGACATCCGCCTCTTTTTGTGAGTAAACCATTTCCTCGGTTTGGTGACTTTGCATTAAGGTAGGTCCCCAAATCATGGTTAAGTTTTGTATGCTCATTTTATTTTTTGTCTTTTGCGAACTGATAAATGCCAAATGACCCACAATTTTCTTAAGTGTTTCACGTTCAATCACACTTAAACGTGCCAATAATTCTTTATACAAAGTTATCTTTTCGGCAGCCGTTGTTAGCTCCGATACACATATAAAACTTTCCGATAATTTACCCATTAAACGTTCAGGCAAATCACGCATAAAACGTTTCAAAACATTTGCCACATCATGTTCATTGTATTCATTGCGTGTTATTTCCACATTAAAAGCATCCGAACGAAATGCGGACATTAGTTTAAGTATGGAATTTTCAGAACCCGATTTCCGATAAATACCCTCTGACATGGAACCATGTATGTAAACGAAATTTATACATTTGTCGACAATAACGGGTACATTGAATTTCGTTAATTGTTGATCGCCTAAAGTGAAACCGTTATTGTGTGCTACTTCACGAATAATATGACGCCATATTTTTGTTTCTCGGGGAGAACTCATTATCATGTAGACAGTAAATGGTGGGGCATCTATCATAAGCATAGGTCCTGATTCGACATGCAAATTCTTTACACTATCATCGCTATCTTTGAGTACTATTAGGGGAGAAATATTGAACATAAACAGGACTGTTTGAATTAGATCTTGCTATTTTATTTTTACCTATACAACGGGCTTTTCTTAGATCCATTTTTTCCACATTACCAGTTGCTTCAGTTACAAATATGAGACGTCTTTGTGTTTTCTTTAATACCAACCAAGTGCCACTCCATTCTGAAGTTATAGAATTCTAGAAAAAATATAAAAATTAATTCCAGAAATATTTAAGAATTGGATAATTAAATTCGTTTTTCAAAATCCTTAATTTAGGACCTAAGTATTTTAATATTTTGTGGAAAACATTCATATTTTGCCAATAAATGGGACTTAATTTCGCTTACATTTTAAAAAGACTATATTCTGGAACATTGAAAGTTTATTAAACACTTTATCCAGAATTTCCTATAAAAAGAAATTTGTCGAAAATTTTCTATAAAAATACAAAATTTATCAGAATTTTATCCAAAAAGCCTATAAAAAGAAATTTTGTTTCTTGGGAATATCATGAAAAACAAGAATGGAGGTTAACAATACTCGAATACAAGTTCGAATTAAAAAAAAAAAACTCATTGAGAAAAACTGCTTCATATTATTTTAAAATTCCTATTTAGTTTTCTAAATCCTTACCTTCAAATAACACCAACCAGCTCTGTAATAATGACATGTATACTTGGTAGGTATGGCGTTAGTCAAACTCTCTAATATTTTCTGCATCCAAATACCCCTGGAAAATATAAAAAATCCATATAAAAATTCAATACAAATATTTAAATAAAACTCACCTTTCCGACTCCTTACCCACACCATACAAATGAGCAATTCTCTGCTGCTTAACGTTACCCGATGAACCTGAAGTCATTATTAAATTGGGATTTGACAAATGTAGATTAGAGGAAGAATTGCCATTTTTCGGCACTGCAGTAGTAATTTCAAAACAATAGAAATGTGTTGAATTATCCGTGACTCTACTATTGCTGACACATTGTATGGTGGTGATATATTCCAAGGGTATGGCTTCTTTAGGTGTTTTCATTTCCTGGTCGAGGTATGTCTGAAATTGACGATCCCTTAAGATGGCCTTACGATTTTGCATTTCTTTTAGAATATCCTCTACAACACCGGAGGGAAAACGTATAAGAGGACCCTCATAGCGTACCAATAACGGGGAGAGGCTAGGACGTGGTATCATTTGTAGGGTGACCTTGACTTCGCTGGGTTTTGATGGATTCTTAAAACTCGCTTTGCGTTTTAAAGCATCCATGCGTATTTTAACATTGGAAAAAACGTTCATTGTATTATTCATAAAACGGGAAGTACCCGTG